ACTCTAAGAGTGAAAAAAGAAAAACAAAAACGTCGGACTTGCATGGACTCGTCAGGAGGCTGAACCGTCAACAATCTGCTCCCCATATTAATGCTTTGGGTCATGAACCCTTTGACCCTTTTCGAAAGCAGACTGTCCACAAGCGGAACACAGCAGCAGGCAACAAGTCAGCGAAGCACTGGGCAACCCAACTGCACAACACCAAAACTAACGGCATGAGCGACAGTGCAAGCGGACGAGCAGCACTGCAACAGTGCAGCAAAGCAGAATGCAACATCCAAACTACACGCCACACAAGCAAAGAATGCGGAATGCAAGGCATGTGGATGGGCAGAAAGGCAGCCAAACTACACGGCACACACGCAAAGAATGTGGAAGGCAAGGCATGTGGAGGGCAGCAGTGCAGCAAAGCACAAAGCAACACCCACAATACAGCCACACCACACAGTGAACACAGCAGCTGCAAAGAATGACATGCAATGCAAGCAGGACAGGTAGCAAGGCAGCAGCGGAGCGCAGACAAGGAAGTCTACACACCCAACTGGAGCAAAGCGGCACATCATGAGTGCACCCCGCAGACTGTTGGTTCCCACCACCTGCTGAGCTAGGGACTCACTCTGACGGGCAGCAGTGCAGCAAAGCACAAAGCAACACCCACAACGCAGCCAAACCACACAGTGAACACAGCAGCTGCAAAGAATGACATGCAAAGCAAGCAGGACGGGTAGCAAGGCAGCAGCGGAGCGCAGACAAGGAAGTCTACACACCCAACTGGAGCAAAGCCGCACATCATGAGTGAACCCCGCATACTGTTGGTTCCGACCACCTGCTGAGCTAGGGACTCACTTTGACGGGCGTCTGTCATCACCCCTAGTCCATATGCAGCACACCGACATCACGAACAGAATGACCCCCATAAGAGTGTTACAGGCACTCCAAACACCCCAACACCAACTGTTTAGCACTTCATAACCCACGCCCACAGAAAGTACTTAGGAAAAAGAACTGGGAAAACGGACAGATAAAAAAACATGAAGAAAAGACATACAGAAAATGGACTCCCCAAAGAATTTTGGGAGATTATGTGAAATCAAATTTCCCAAGATTTGACGGATCTTTACCACGCAGCATGAGACTCAGGCAGATTGGGGGAAATCTTTGGTCAAGGTTTCCCAACTATGCTTTATAAAAAAGGAGATAAAATGAACAATCGTAACTATAGAACAATCACCCTCCTCACAATTGTCTATAAAATGGGGATGAAGGCCTTATCCAACAGATTGATGAATGTAATCACAAGTATAATTCATCCATCCCAATCAGGCTTTATCTCAAGAAGGAATATACAAGATAACATCCTCCTAATCAACGAAGTAGTCAAGCTATCTAGACAATCGAAACATAATGCAGCTGTAATCTTCATCGACTTTGAAAAAGTATACTACCATGTGGACTGGCTTTTCTTAGATAAGTGCATGGAGAAATTTAATTTTGGACCCAACTTTAGGAAGTGGGTGAAGATTTTACACTCTAACGCCACGATTAGTGTCATGAATCATGATTAATGGCAATTTGGTCCCCTCAATCTCTCTAGAACGATCGGTAAGACAAGGAGACCCGATAGCCCCCTTTGTTTTTGTTCTAGTAATGGAAGCACTTGCGGCCAATTTACGTTAGAACAAGGATGTTAAACGTATTAAGATATCTTCTATACCAAAGGAGGCCATCCCAGTGTGTTCCTTGTTTGCTGATGACCTTTCATTGATGGTGGAGGCCTCTGAGGAAAATATGAAGGCAATTAAAGATATGATGGATAAATTTTGTAACATCTCAGACATGAAAATAAACTGGGGGACTAAAACACAAGGATGGTGGATTTACTATCAAGGAGCGAGACCGCCTGAACAACCCCAAGTTAACTGGTTACCTTCCGCAACCCCAATAAGGGTTTTAGGGGTCTTGTTGTCAGCAGAAGGCAAATCAAGATTAAATAATGACTGGATCTCCACGCCTACACTAGCTAGATGGAACTTTGGAAAGACAAGCACACCACCTTGATAGGTCGACCTTTGGTCATAAACAATGGAATATTGGCATCTCTTTGGTACAAATTTTCCCTATGGTCAGAGAGGAGCACTCTGATAGGTATGCAACAAGGTCAGACATAAAAAAGACCCATTTTGGCCAAATCTTATAAAAACTTGGCGTAAACTACCACTCCCAGATAAGTATGCTCCTACCAGATGGGAGGAAGTCTGTCAACAACCGCTTTTTAACAATAGGTGGATTAAAGATTCTCTAGGGAAATCACTACACTGTATGGATTCTCCTTGGAGAATGTGGGTGAGAAGAGGGATACTCAGAATAGGAGATATCTGGTGTAAGGAGACTAACGAGTGGTGCGTCCCCTCTCAACTAAAGAAGAGGTTGAAATATTGCAGACATTCTAAGGAAGCTTTAGACTTTTTAATCGACCTCATTCCACTGGATTGGATAAGGATCTTAAAAAGGGACAGAAAATGAAAGAAGGCGATTGGGTTGGAATCCAAGGTGAAGTAGAAAAGGTAGCTAATGTGGTGATGGTAAGAGAAGAAGGGGAGACCCTCCTTTCGCTGTTTGATTTGGGCCAAGACAACCGGATCTACACTCAACAATCACAAGAAACAAAGTGGGTTCAAACTTCAAAGGGACAAAATTTTCAGGATAAGAGTCTTGCATGATAAAGATCAATGGCAAGCTTTCAGACCTTCCACCTCGATAGGTAAGTTGGCCCTAGACCCAATCAATTGGGTATAGACCACAAAGTATGGCAATAAACGGAAATTTGTTCGTTCCCTCCATTCCCTATCAATGAAACCCACATACCGGATGCTGAGGCCGCCTCTGAACCTGAAGGATAATGTAGAAACTCACTGGATGAAACATCTAAACTTAAGTAAAGAGACTTTAAGACCCATCAAATGGTTTAAGTTCAGTAAAGTCAAGCCAACTAAAGTGGCATCCCTACAATGGCAGATTGGTCACCGCTGCCTCCCACTAAATGATTGGCTCATTGATAGGACCAACCTAGAACAGAGGGGCCTAGCATTACCATGGTGTGGATGTTGCCTATTTGTATTTCCCTCGAGGAAAATTCCGGAGACTATAGAGCACATCTTCGTTCAATGTCCTGGAGCAAAATGGTTGTGGAGATGGTGGGATAGAATCTGGAACCATATCATCACCTCCCTTCCATGGTCGTGGGATTGGAAAGCACTCTTATGTGAAACATGGAACCCACCCCAAACAGATACCTTCTCACAAAATCTTTATATAATAGGAAGGAGAGCCGTCCTATGCGCACTTTGGAGAAGAAGATGTACGTATGAAATAGAAGGAGCCAGATTTGATGGCCCGGATCTAACAGATTCAATCAAGCACCATATCCAAACTGATATCTCGGCACAATGGGACAGAATAAAAGAGAAAATTAAACATTTACTCACAGAATCAGAAATCTTTCACCACATTAAGAAATTCAGCGGCGACTGGCTAGGGGGGACCCAGGCGGGGAAACTGGGAGAAATCAAGTGGAAAGGTTTTAAGGGGGATGACCAGGGGAGTCGAGTCGGGGCCCCAGTTGTTGTGAGGGACTACCGTTTGGTGTTTCATGATTGGACAGCTGTGGACCCATCCTTTCCTCTTCACCCCCTATCTAGATTCCAAGACTTTTTCCCTCCATCATCCTTAAGCCTGGTTCCTTTGAGTTGGTATGGTTTGGAGTGAGCATTTTCTTTTAAACTTAGGATGAAATTTCAGCTAGTTCATGCCACAAATCTGTTAATAGTACCAGTCCTTAACTTTTTTATCTGGTGCCCTTCTAGTGAGGGTGAAGAGGTACAGATGGCAATTCACCACCGGACACTATATAGACCTGCGCAGTCAATCCCCTGGGTCGCAGGGCAATCAATGATGACAGGCCCCACGGCCACTATTCTCACTGTTCTCAGACATTCTCATTTTCTGTATATGGGACGCTGGACCCGTTTTCCAGCAGGTGATGCTCCCCAGCAATAGATGGAGTCTCTCCCCAGGTGCTAGTGGTGTCTGCTCTTATCAGCACCACTATTACTGGTGGGGATGTTTTAAA